TGTTTCTATTAATTTGTTATCATGTTAAATACAAATTCAGTCACATTAAAAAGGCTGTTGCTGTTAGCCTTATGCTGGAGTTGGTTCACTTTCCGGCAATGAAACTAAGTAATTAAATAATTAAATAAATTTGCACGATAATATCGTGTATCGGCGATCTCACAGGCTGACGATAGGACGATATGAAAATTGAGCATATCGCCCAAAACTACTATGTGATTTGCGAAAATCTGCTTAACGTGATGCGTTTTAACTAAAAAATTCACAGATTAAAAGAAGCATTTTCTGTTTAGATTTTTTTCTGTTTTTATTCTTGAATGAACATCCATACTGTGAATTTTACAGAAATGATCCAAAATAAAATGTTGTTTCTGAGGCATTTGTAATAGTGATTCAAGTTACCTAAAGAGGATGCATGTTATTTTTTGTCCTTTTTAATTGTAAATGAATTGTATTGGCATAACGGTTTGGGTCGGTACGATTTTGTAATGTTTTTGAAATAAGTATTTTATGCTCACCAAGGCTGCATTTATTTGATCAAATAAATGAATACATTCATAAAGGTGATATTGTGAAATATTAATTAAAATTTAAAACAATTGTTTTCTGTTTGAATATATTTTACAATTTTATTTATTCCTGTAATGCATTCCTGAATTTTCAGCATCATTACTCCAGTCTTCAGTGTCACATGATCCTTCAGAAATCTTGCTAATATGCTGGTTTTCTGCTATATATATTATATATTATATATTTTCTGCTATTAAATATTTCTTATTACTAATGTTGAAAACAGTTGTGCTGCTTAATATTTTTTTTTTTAAGGAAACTGTGATACAATTTTTATTTTTTTTATTACCACTTCGAGCACATTTAAACAAAAATCATGCTTCACACATTTATATGATTCATTCCTATAAGACTGTCAGACCAAGCAACCTACGAGCTTAGTGAAGGGTCAGTGTGTAATTGGTTAAAACCTAATTGGTGGGTGGGACTATTACATAGCAGTGTGCACCTGTGTGATGATGTCGCATGGAGTCAGCAGTGATGTGACCTGTCCCAGTGCCCAGATCTAGAAATGAACCTGAAGAACTGCAAAAAAATATGGGCCGCTACACTTACCGTTCATAATCATCAGAAAAATATGCACACTCAGTATGTTTTGTTTTGATGAAACATGAATCTAGAAACACAATCATAAGCATTGCATTGACAGCAGTTTCCTTTGTTTTTCAAAATGACCCACGGGTCATTCTGTGTCAAATCAACCAAATTTCAGGAACTTCCCCAGCTAAAATGTTTGATTTTGTTAATATTTTTTTTTCTTAAGAAAACAAACATGAATAGTGATTAAAGCCAAAATATTACATGCCATGGATGATTATTTACAGAGTAATCCACTGTTTTATAGAGGGGGGGTCAAAGGGGCAATTGGAGATTTGGAGCCAAACTACAGTAGGGGTCAACAACTTTAGAAAGATGGCACTGTCATTACTTTATTTTTTCACAGAGATTGGTATATTTATTAGTAATATATGTTATGGTTCATTTAAAATATGGGGATCTCATTGTTGCCCCATCAGTAAATTTTTAATTAAAAATGATCAAAATCAAAGTTTTTAGCTCTAGGTGAGCAATGGCCCCTATGCGATCTATTGCATCTTTGTATGTTTTTGAACAATTATCAATAGAGCTATATGGTCTTTTTCAAATGGGTCTTTATAGCCCCGTTTCCACCGCAGGAACTTTCCCCAGGAACTAGGGACTTTGGGCCAGTACTCGGTGTGTTTCCGCCAATTTCGGAGACGTGAGCTCCACGCGATCAGCGGGTGATCAGTACTCATGTTTCCCGACGAGAGCAGCCTCAACTCGGCTAGTCCTTCTGACATTTGCCGCTGGCTCTGATGTCTCTGTAGTGGTTAAACACAAGATGTCATTTGTTTTGGGTAAATCTAACAGGTAATCTTTGGTCTTTATTCAATTAATCTATTAATATGTTAAAATGAAAATGAAAAGAGGCAATAGCCTACTGTTTGATATAATATTTTGTTTAATTGTAATGTATACGTTCCCTGAACTGCATTTCTGCTGCTATTAATATGTTTAAATGAAAACGAAAAAAGGCAGTGGTGTTTGACATCATATTTCGTATTATTGTAAATACAGTGAGGAAAATTGCAGTAGCCAAGGCGAGCTGACCGATTTCAAGTACGCTGCTGTTTGCAGAATTACCGGACTTGCATCGTCCCGTCCGCGTGAGTTCACACTCCCGAGTCGAAATTGCGAAGTCCAAAATTTGCGTACTTGGTATTGAGAAACGCGCTCAGACCTACGTCACCAGACTATTTGCCAAATCTTCTCTGTACTTTAGACCATGATGAAAACGCAGAAAGCAACAGGTCTGGGGGGAAAAAGGTTCCTGGGACAAATTGTTCCAGGTAATTTCAGTGGAAAAGCAGCTTTTGAAGCAAGTTTTTAGTGCAAATCATGTCATCAAGTCATGTATCATTGTATAAATCTGAGATTGTTTCATATTCTAGGTACATACCTCCTCTTCTATGGGGTAAAAGCGGTCATCTGCAGACAGCCCTCTATGGAAAGTTGGGTCGGGTCAGTTCACCACACCCGTTCGGCCTGCGCAAATATCTGCCCATGCAGGACGGGGCCACGGCAACTTTTGACCTCTTTGAACCCCTGGCGGATAATCAGTCCGGAGGTCAGTGCCACGTAGTTGGGTTTTAGTCTGAGCTGGAGCGTAACACTACACTCCTGTGTGGAAAAACGGATAAATGACGGCCTCATTCAGGTTCAAGGAGGGAAGTATCATTTAAATAGTTTGCTTGATCATCATTCTGAAGAAGAGGTATTAATTACAGGAATGCTTATCTATATGAAATGCCATTTTGCTTTTATGTAATGTGACCTTTTTAGTGAAAGCTTATTTCCACCATGAAATAAAAATATAAAAAGATAATTGCAACTTTTTAGTTCACAATTCTTTAGTCTCGCAATTCTGATGTTCTGTCTTACAAATCTGGATTTTTTTTCTCGTAATTCTGAGATATAAATGTAGAAGTGTGATATATATATATGTACACATACATGCATACATGCATACATAAACTAACAAATACCTTTTTTTATTTTCTTATCCCGTGGCTTAAACAACAAAAAAAAAAGTAGAATTGTGATATGTAAAGTCAGAATTCTGAGAAAAAGTCAAAATTTCAAGATGACGTCTGAATTGTGAGAGGAACTTACAACTGCGAGAGAAAAAACAATCAGAAATGCAAGATAAAAAGATACTTTTTTGCATAAAACAGAATTTTCAATTTAAAAAAGTTGGTTTAGAGCAGTGATGGGCAAACTTGGCCCTTCCAGGCCACTTTCCTGCAAATATTTGATCCAACCCTGATAAAACTCACTTGCCTGTAGCCTTCTAGGAGTCTTGAAGACAATGATTAGCTGGTTTTCAGGTGTGTTTGATTAGGGTTGGAGCTAAACTCTGAAGGAAAGTGGCCTGGAAGGGCCAAGTTTGCCCACCCCTGGTTTAGAGAAAAGTCACATTTAAAATGAAAATTAATAATGGTAATTATGACAAAGACATTTTAATAATTTGGAATAACATAAACCAAAGAATTGCTCAAAATAAGACCATGAATGTTTTTAAGAGTCAATTTTGAGATAAACATAGCACAGAAAATATGTCATTGAAATAAATACATGCATCTTCTGTACTATTGCAATGTCAGTGTATTGGAAAGTGGAATTTTGCAGCTATCTTGTTATACACACTATGTATTTTGCATTTGTTTGCTCTGTGCAAATATTGTGACACGTTACCTGGAAAAGAAAAGATAAACAGTATGATAATGTTGAGCAACTCAAACATTTGTCTGCGTACATTTGCATTTATTTGTCTATGTGTGAAAGGACTTCCATAGCAAGTGCTCTTAGTGTTTTGTGTTGGTTTGACAGAGGACGTCACCATGGTCATCTGTCCTGGCATTGGGAACCACAGTGAAAAGCACTACATCCGCACGTTTGTGGACCATTCGCAGAAACAGGGCTACCGCTGTGCTGTGCTCAATCACCTCGGGGCCTTGCCGAACATTGAGCTTACCTCGCCTCGCATGTTCACCTATGGTACGAGACGTGTATAGATTGAGTTTATTCAGGAAACTTCATATTTCTAAAGGGATACAATGAATGAATTGGGAACTTTTCAGTTTATTGAATAAAGCAATAATCCATGCGAGCATGTATCTTTTTATTTTCATGATCTTTTCATTATCTTTACCGAAAAGAATTGAAAATTTTAATGTAAATTTTTACTTAATTCTGTTTGAACATTGTGTAAATCATGTGTTTGGTCATAATTTAAAATCGTAAAGCCACACCTTTGCTGTCAATACATACATTTGTGCTGTTTGCTGGCAGCTATTTTTATTTTATTTTATTTATTGTATTTTTGGTTTTTAGTTTATTTATTGTATTTTTGTTTTTTAGTTTACTTATTATATCTTCATTCTTTTTTATTACATTTTAATCTGGTTTTGTTGTATCAGATGTTTATTTTTATATATTTATTTTATTTTTTATCAGATGTTATTTTATATTTTATCAGATTTTATTTTATGTTTTATCAGATTTAATTTGAATGTGAATTTTAATGTAATTGTGTTTGGACATTGTGTAAATAATATGTTTAATCTAAAAGTTGTTTGGCCTTCCTAATTCCACCTTTGCAATCATGAAGCCATACATTTACTGTCAATACATACATCTATTTTATTTTATTTTATTTATATTTTATTTTTCAGTTTAGTTTTTATGTTATCAGATGCCATTTTATTTTGGTTTATCAGGTGTTATTTTATATTTGATCAGATTTAATATTCTATCAGATTTTGATAGAATGATAATTTGTAGATGTAAATATTCATTTTATAATGCTGAACTAGTCACTTTTGGTGACTAGTCAACTTCATGTTCTGTTCTAATGTTTTGCTGTTTTTGTTTCTCTCCACAGGTTGTACATGGGAGTTTGCAGCAATGGTGGGCTTCATCAAAAAGACATACCCACAGACCAAACTTATTGTCGTGGGCTTCAGTCTGGGGGGAAATATCGTGTGCAAGTTCCTGGGAGAGAACCGAACCAACCAGGAGCGGGTTCTGTGCTGTGTAAGCGTGTGCCAGGGCTACAGTGCACTAAGGTGAGCCACTCTGTTCCCAGACAGAAGCTACATAATACCTGATGTTGCTCCAGAGGGAATGGGACAGGAATGCATGAAGCCATGGGAGTACTGCCCAGATAAAAATGCTGCTAGCTTGCTTTGGGTACAAGATGGACCATTTTATCACTGCTGCCAGTGGACTCCGACTAAACTCGAGATAAGAACTGACAGTGTGTACATTGTAGTTGGTGATTTAAAATGCACAGATGGTCTCAGTATTGTGTCCACCTGCTTCCTCCGCTTGACACTTGCATGTTGCATGAAACTCGTGCAAAGTAAACACACTCTGTTTGTACATTTGTATAAGCATATCTCTGTTAGCTAAAGTAGTGCTTACCTAATGGTACGGCATAGACCGTGTGCGAATTTCTAAGGCATGTTCGGATCCTCCCAAAGGAAGTCAAAAGTGTTAAACACCTTTATTTCAACACATTATATTTTGACATCTGGCTACAAACATTCAACAGTAGTGAGCTCTTTGTAAAAAGCATTCAATATTGGTCAGTATGTAAACCGAAGCCAAAGAACTGTTGTTATTTATTAGTTTACTATAGATAAGTTCTTGAGATATGTATATCTAATTTGACATTTGGCTTACTATGCTAGAGCCAAAAAAAAGAGATTGCATACTTTGCACACTGGCTGTAAGGATGTTGACATGTCAACGTTAAAGAGCACCATAGCAACAGCTCTAACAACTAAACATGGAACAAACTCACGTCTCACATCGCTGTCAGTGAATAAGCATGTGATGTGGGTTTCAGTGCAGAAAGTAGCTCTAGACAGCAAAGGTGTGGCTTTAGATTTACTGAAGCCCAAACACATCCACTGCATTCCAGAGCTGCTTCTGCACTGAAACCCACATCACATGCTTATTCACTGACAGCGATGTGAGACGTGAGTTTGTTCCATGTTTAGTTGTATAGAGAGAAAATGGGAATGAAAAAATTAATTTAAAAAAACTGTACGTTTTTAACACAGTAAAATTAAACAAAGAATATAAAAAATATAAAAAATTATGATATGCATGAGCTCTGCTGGGGTTTTGTGAAGCACACTTGGCACTGCCGTCAGTATGTTGCCAAACAGTCGAGCTCTGCCTTCAAACAGGATTACTAAATCTATAAAGCCTCTGCTAATCTGCTCTGCCTGATTATCTGACAGATTGTTATATTCAAGATCCCTTTTAATGCACCTTATGAATTTAGCTGGAATTGATATTAAAGAGCTCATGCATATCATAATTTTTTATATTTTTGATATTCTTTGTTTAATTTTACTGTGTTAAAAGCGTACATTTTTTTTAAATTAATTTTTTCATGCCCATATTCTCTCTGCCCCTGGAATTTATTCATCATAACGTTACAAACATTAAACATATGAAAGACTTTTATGTAGTTTAAATAGCATTGAAAACGCATTCTTTTGTGTGTGTGTGTGTGTGTGTTTCAGGGCTCAGGAGACGTTTCTGCAGTGGGACCAGTGCCGTCGTTTCTATAACTTCCTGATGGCCGACAACATGAAGAAGATCATTTTGTCCCACAGGTACTGTTGATCTCGTCCTCAGCGGTGAATCTGACAGACGTCGGTGTGAGTGGTGTTGAGTGGCCGGCTGTGATATTCACTCTTCTGCTGAAACTGTTTTGAGCTCATGTGTTCTTTTGCAATCAAGCCATTAGGAGACCTCAGAATAACTTACATTAGTGCTCTCTCTGATGACACAAAAACAAGATAAATTTACTATCTCCTGAGTGGTAAGAGAATATATATCTAACCACTGAGCTGTCGATTTAACAGAGTCAGCAAAACTTATTTTGTGGTTCAACAGGGGCGTGTTATTCGGAGTGGGCTCCACTAAAATGGTGGATGCGGATCTGAGCCGGCTCTACACTGCCACATCTCTCATGCAGATAGATGACAACATCATGAGGTGAGTGCAGGGAAATTGATAAATGTGGTTTTTGTAATTCTCTTGTGAAACAGATTCAAGACACATTTTGTGACTTGAGATTTGTAATAAACCACACAATGAACAAATAGTGTGTACCATTTTTAGAGGTTATTTTAAGTCATGTTCTCCGAAAATGAATCTTCCTTTAGCCTTGTCAAAGATTTTGTGCTGTTTGTGCTGTTATAAAATACTAGGGATGCACCGATACCATTTTTCAGATCCGATCCAATACCAAAAATTCTGAGTATCGGCCGATACCGATACCAGCACTGTTTTTTTTTTTTAATAATCATTGTAGAATTTCTATACCTCAGTGTGTTGACCTGATCATCACTGTTTTGTGTGTTAAACACAATCTACTAAATATAGACAACTTCATTTAAATAAATTTTAAACTTCATGTAAAATACATGAAAAAATATATAATCATAATCTATGACAAAAATACTATTATAAACTAGGTTAGTGGTAATTCACCAGCAAAAGTTATTCTAGAAAAATCATGAGTGCACAATAAATTTATAAAATCTAAACATACATCATTAGTGAAATAACATTATTTAGTGGGGAACAAATGAACGTGAATAAGTGTAGGACTGAATCTGGTAAAATGTTACACATTGCTCTTTGTATTGTTGTAAAATACGTTAATGAAAAATAAGTAAATTTAAAAGACATTTCTTTTAAATGTATAGCACAGTAATGGAGGCAGCAACATATGATAGATAGGACAGAACAAGAAAGGCTATTAATAATCTTTATTCTATTAATTAATCTTTCATTGCGCAAAAGTATTATAATACGAAAGGCTCCAATACAGAGCAGCACAAAGTGCTTATGCGCAATCCCGTGTGTAGAATGATGCGCTTGAAGCAACACGGAGTCACAGCGCAGCGCTCCGCATAGAGAAGTACAAAGCACAAAGGAAAGAGATATTGATGCGTAGTGTATTAAATCTGTGCGATAGTTTATTGAGCCTTTTCTTTGAACAGTTTTAAATTTCAGTTACTGCGCTCTTGGAGAGAGTTTCATCGTCTTGACTAGTAACTGAATGCCGCAGCGGAGACCTTGACTTAATATTCATCTCTTCCTCACATTCAGAGCCGATCCTCCCTATACGCAAGCTGCGTAGGGCCCCCGAAACACCAGGGGGGGCCTCCTTGCTCTCAAAGATGATTTAATTTTAGTTTTGTTTTTGAATTTGGCCAGCAGTTATGAAAACATGAATGATCATTTCTTTTAATGCGGTGCACTGTCGCCCTTTCTACGTAAAAATCAGTAAAATCATGTAATTTGAATGTCGTACAGTCTTGCTCGAGACTTAAAAAAAAATGAGTTGAAAGCGTACCGAGCCCACTGAGGGCTACAGAGAATCACACACACTCTACATACATACCAGAAAAACAAACATTTCTATTTGCATCCATATCAGAGCATATAATAAATGAAGTTGTAGATTTACAGTAGGTTCGTAGCATAATGCTACTAAATCAACATAAAAAAACTGATCAACTTGAAACCAACCTGTTGAAATATAAATATATGCAAATGCAAAATCAGAGCCGATTTCCCCTATACGCAAAATACGCAAGCTGCGTAGGGCCCCCGAAACACCAGGGGGGGCCCCCTTGCTCTCAAAGATGATTTAATTTTAGTTTTGTTTTTGAATTTGGCCAGCAGTTATGAAAACATGAATGATCATTTCTTTTAATGCGGTGCACTGTCGCCCTTTCTACGTAAAAATCAGTAAAATCATGTAATTTGAATGTCGTACAGTCTTGCTCGAGACTTAAAAAAAAATGAGTTGAAAGCGTACCGAGCCGCGGAAGAGAAACTGTTTCTCAAGTGCTTTCCGCGAGCGCGATTCGAGACTGAGTGAAACACGGACAAATGCTTTTCATTCATTCATTCATAACCAAAAGCGGTTACTGTGATCTAATACGAAAACGGGAACACGTCGTTACAATAAGGTTACATTCATTAACATTATTTAATGCAGTAACTAACCGGTGTTATTTTAGTATCATTGATATGCTGTAATAGTTTTTATTAATATTTTGAATGGATTTAGATTTTTATATTTTACATTTTCATTTAAATTTTCATTAAAGTTTTATGAATTTTGTAATTTTTTTTTTTTTAAGTTTTGGTTCTTTTAAAATATGTCTATATTATATTACATTTAATCATTAAGCAGGCGCTTTTATCCAAATTATTATTTATTGACTTAATATATAGTTCTTATTCATTTTTATTTCAGTTTTAGTTAAGTACTTCAGGTTAAACTGATAAAACGAGAAACGTTGCCTTAGCAACTGGCTGAAATAATTTTTTTTTTTTTTTTTTTTAGTTTAGCTAACATGCATTTCATTTATGTTTTTATGGTGTTAGTTAATGATAATAACCCTGTAACTAACATTAAGTTACAATGAACGATGCATTTACTTATCAAGTTTAATATGTTCTTTTTTTACATATATACAAATATATTTTCAAATTAACAGTAATGTATTCTGAACAATGATTAACAACATGAAGAGTAGTAAATTTATAAATTAACTAAGAATAATGAATTATGTAAAATAAAAAAGGTCATCATCAGTTCTTGATATCTTATGGTAATGTTTTAAATTTGTAAATTTTGATAATGATTATTTACACGCAAGTTCAGTAGAAAAGTTTCCACGTGTTGTATGTTAGTGGGCAGTGTATTCCTATTATAGCAAGTTGTCAATTTGTTTTCTAGAAAATTCCATGGGCACAACTCTCTGAAGGAGTACTACGAGAAGGAGAGCTGTGTTCATTACATTCATAATGTGAGTAAAATAAGATTGCTATTTAGTGAATAGCTTTAGAGAGTCTATAAGGAAATACTATTATCTATGTGGTGACATCCTGTTTATGACTCTAGTTCTTCTCTCTGTGTTGCAGATAAATGTGCCTCTGCTGCTGGTGAACTCTGGTGACGATCCGCTTGTGCACAACTCACTGCTCACCATTCCTCGCACACTCGCAGGTACAGCAACCATCCGAGTTTCATGCGATTTAAAAAGAAATCTAAAAGATATGGGGAGTGTATTATACAAAATTATCAATTTGAATCCATCCTCAACTTCATTTTTACATCTTCCAAAGAAAATGTGATTGGTGCTTGACTGTGACGCCATCTATGATATATGAAAAAAATCAAAAAAGATTGATTGCTTAAAGTAACGGACTGAAATAAATAAATAATGTATTGCATAATTAATTAATTTACTTATTTATTTTTTGGTGTGCAAATTCCATGTATTCCTTCAGTGTATATATACATTGGATCAACGCACCCAACAAATACTTGAATGCACGTGATTGCATGGAGCTGCATGGCTGGAGTTTGTTTATGAGCAATAGTGAAAGTATTGCTTGCCTTGAACATACCACCTAATAGTACTTTTTTCCATTTGAAACCTTTTTTTTTTGCTGTAGT